GAGACTCTGTCTCAAAAAAAAAAAAAAAAAAAAGGAAGAAAATAGACAGTAATCCCTGTTCTGTGGATCTTACATTCTATTGGAAAGATGCAATATAAAGAAATAAGTGGCCAGGCATGGTAGCTCATGCCTGTAATCCCAGCACTTTGGGAGGCCAAGGTGGGAGGATTGCTTGAAGCCAGGAGTTCAAGCCCAGTCTGGCCAATGTAGTGAGACCCCGTCTCTACAAAAAAATTTAAAAATTAGCCAGGCATGGTGGTGCACGCTTGTAGTCCCAGCTACTTGGGAGGCTGAGGTCAGCAGATCCCTTGAGCTCAGGAGGTTGAGGCTGCAGTGAGCTATGGTTGCACCGCTGTGCTCATGCCTGGGTGACAGAGCAAGACCCTGCCTCTAAATAACAACAACAAAAAACAAACCATCACCACTTACAAGCTGTGTGATCTTGGGCAAATAGCTCAGCCTTCTGAGCCTCAGTTTTCTTATCTGTTAAGCGAGGATAATAATTGTACCTATCCCATAGTGTTGTGAGGATTAAAGGAGACACTGCCCAGAACCAAGAAAATTATCACTAAATCATGGCTGTTATTACTATTATTTTCCCCCAGCCTACTGAGAACCTACTAGAATTCATAGGTCAAGGAAGGGGTAAACCTACTGCTGCAGGTGATCTCAGAGTTAGAGCACGAGTATGAGTAGGTGTGGGTGTACGGGTTGTCCAGCAGAAATTTACAGCTGCTCAGCTTCTTGGCCTGGTCGTAGCAGTTGTCATGTGTCTGGCAGCACCTGGAAAGTGGGAGGGACAGCTGAGATAGTAGTAAGGGCAGAGCAATAGGTCAGCCCTCACCTGCCCACTCTCAGGAACAGGTGGGGATGACTTCGCCAACATGCTCCAGGAGAAATGATCCTATGACTTGAAAAAATATAAGTCCTTTTATCATATATTTATTGGAAGCATTTTTTTTTTTTTTCGAGGCAGAGTCTTGCTCTGTTACCCAGGTTGGACTGCAGTGGCACGATCTTGGCTCACTGCAACCTCCGACTCAGTCTCCCAAGTTGCTGGGATTACAGGCGCTCACCACCACGTCCGGCTAATGTTTGTGTTTTTGGTAGAGACAGAGTTTCACCATGTTGGCCTGGCTGGTCTCGAACTCCTGACCTCAAGTGATCCACCCGCCTTGGCCTCCCAAAGTGCTGGGATAACAGGCATGAGCCACCGCGCTTGGCCTGAAAGCGATTTTTAACATGGTTGCAAGCATACAGTAAAATCCTGTAATCAGAAGGTGCAGTGTGACACTTAACCGCTGCTAGAAAATGACACGTGGATTGTTGCTGTGATGTTTACTGTTGCCGCATTCTGCCACTGGAGGGCAGCATCTCCCACTGTTTTGCATGTCGGTCATTGTTTCCATCTCTAACGGGGAGCGTTCGCTACAGGGTCCTCTTGGAACGTATTTCTTTATATGACAAGAGGTGAAAATATGTTATCCTTAGCAGATATGCAAGTCCCCTTTGTATGCCTCATGAGATCCTTGGCGTATGCCCCGCCCCGCCCCCGGCAGGCACTCCAGTTTTCCTCCAGGCGGATCACTTACTTGTCCAATTCATCCACGGGGGTGCCTGAGCCCCCCAAGCCACAGTAGCAGCCGTAGTTGTTGTATTCCAAGTAGGGGTCGCTCCCCGGGATCACACACTTGATCAATTTGCGGAACTGCCACACGGCCCGAGAGCTGATGCCGCTCTCGGCGGCAGCCACTGCAAGAAGACATAGCCAGAGTTCAAATCGGTCTGCCAGCACCCCGGGGACACACTGCCTTCCTGCTCCCTCGGGCCCCATGCTGCCTCCCCGACCCCTGCCAGCTGCCTCCTCCGAAGACCGTTGGACCCAGGAACCTGGTGAAGTGAAAGTGGGTAGAGGTTTGTTTGTTTGTTTTTTTTAAATGAAAACTTTATATATATAAAGTTTATATATGTGTGTGTGTGTGTGTGTGTGTGTGTGTGCGCATATATATATTCTTTTTCTTCTTCTTTTTGGATCTCACTCTGTTGCTCCCGGGGGAGTGCAGTGGTGCAATCATGGCTCGCTGTAACTCAGTCTTCCAAGTAGCTGGGTCTACAAGCATGGGCCACCACACCCCAGTAATGTTTTGTGTTGTTTGTGGATACGGGGTTTTGCCATATTGCCCAGGCTGGTCTCTGGGCTCCTGGACTCAAGGGATCCTACGGCCTCAGTCTCCTGAAGTGTGCTAGGATTACAGGCATGTGCCACCCAGCTAGGCCTGATAGTTTTTGTTTGTTTGTTTTGAGATGGAGTCTCGCTCTATCACCCATGCTGGAGTGCAGTGGCACGATCTCGGCTCATTGCAAACTCCACCTCCCAGGTTCATGCCATTCTCCTGCCTCAGCCTCCCTAGGCCAGATAGTTTTAAACTATCTGCATTGTTTATCCAGTGAATATTTATTGAGCACTTACTACGTGCCAGGCTGTGTCCTAGGAGCTAGAGATATAGCAGTGAACAGATATAATAATAATAATACTCTCTAACCTCATGGAGCTTACAACCTAGTGGGAGAGAAAAACAATAATAAATGTGATAAGGCTGGGCGCGGTGGCTCACGCCTGTAATCCCACCACTTTGGGAGGCCGAGGCAGGGGAATCACGAGATCAGGAGATAGAGACCATCCTGGCCAACACGGTGAAATCCCGTCTTTATTAAAAATACAAAAAAATTAGCCGGGCGTGGTGGCGGGCACTTTTAGTCCCAGCTACTGGGGAGGCTGAGGCAGGAGAATGACGTGAACCCGGGAGGCGGAGCTTGCAGTGAGCCAAGATCGCACCACTGCACTCCAGCCTTGGTGACAGAGCAAGACTCTGTCTCAAAAAAAAAAAAATAATAATAATAATAAATGTGATAAGTAAGGAAACTGGATACTCCATTAGAAAGGGGAAAGATAGAGCAGGATGAGGAGAAACTGAAAGGGAGGTCAGCCAACCTGGCCAACATGGTGAAAACCTGTGTCTACTAAAAAAATACAAAAAAAATTAGCCGGGCATGGTGGTGTGTGCCAGTTACTTGAGAGCTACAAGTCCCAGCTACTTGAGAGGCAGAGGTAAGAGAATTATTTGAAACCAGGAGGCGGAGGTTGTAGTGATCTGAGATCACGCCACCGCACTCCAGCCTGGGTGACAGAGTGAGCCCCTGTCTCAAAAATAAAATAAAGTGAAATAAAAATTAAAATAATAACATAAAATAAAATAAAATAAATGGGAGGTTGGCCTAACTACTTAGTTGACTAAGGTGGGAGGATCACTTGAGCCCACGAGTTGGAAGCTGCGGTGAGCTATGATCACGCCACTGAACTCCAGCCTGGGCGATAGAGCAAGACCCTGTCTGGAAAAAGAAAATAAAGGCAAGCTTTCTTAGCTCACGCAATCTGAGTTCAGACTTGCAGGTTGAAAAGGTGCCAGCCTTGAGGGAACCCCAATAGAGGAGCCCTTAAGCCCCACTGGGAACCTCGAATTGAGACTGTGGGGCTGGCCAGCCCTGTCTACTGTGGCCTGTGGCCCCCATTCCAGAGGAGTTAGATCTTAGCTCACTTGGGAGAGAAAGGCGGGTGGAGCCCGGGAGACTTGCCTACCTGTGAGCAGCACAGCCAGCACAAGCAGTTTCATCCTGCAGTCAAGGAGGTGAGAGGAGAACTGAGATGACCAGTTTCGGTTATAGTCTTATAGTCCGTCTCCACACACCCCTGCCCAGATAAGGCTGGAGTGTTTGCTTTGCTTTGCTCTTGGCTGAGTCTGGGGCTGGCCTTGAATCTGTTGCTGGAATGACCCTGACGATTTGCCAGCAAGGGATCATTGGAAAACATGTTATGCATTTGTCCTTAGCAACTGTTAACCAAAGGGATGGTTTCTGGAGTTTTCAGAGCTCACAATCTTGACCCTCATACCCACCACTTTGTACTCAGCCCAGCTTCATGGGCTGGTTGGGGAAAGCAAAGCCATCAGTTCAGTCGGACGCTGGGATAAGGGAGACAAGAAGGAAGTGCAGCCTGGGCAACATAGAGAGACCTCATCTCTTAAAAAAAAAAAATGTTAACCAGGTGTGGTGATGGATTGCACCTGTGATCCCAGCAACTCAGGGGGCTGAGGTGGGAGGATCTCGTGATCTAGGGAGGTCAAGGCTGCAATGAACCGTGACTGAGCCTCTGCAGCAGAGTGAGACCCTATTTCAAAAGAAAAAAAAAAAGATTGCTGCCTGCAGCCTCCATGTCTCAAGTGCCTGAATCTGTGCACTGGGTCTAGTTGAATAGTCCCATCAGTCATGCAGCTTGCAGATGAAGAGACAGGTTCAGAGAGGTGCGGTAACTTGCCCAAGATCACACAGTTGGCAGATGACAAAATAGGGCTCCAGTTTAGATCTGTCTGATTCCAAGACACAGGGTTTATTTTATCCCACCAATCCCCTCTGCAGTGTGGGTTTGTGAGAAGAACCTGGGCTTTGGATTCCAAAGGCCTGGATCTAACTTATAGAATACTAAAGGACATTAGAACTGGCATATCAGAGGCCAGGCGCAGTGGCTCACGCCTGTAATCCCTGCACTTTGGGAGGCTGAGGTTGGGGAGTTCAAGACCCGCCTGACCAACATGGAGAAACCCCGTCTCTACTAAAAATACAAAATTAGCCAGGTGTGGTGGCACATGCCTATAATCCCAGCTACTCAGAATGCTGAGGCTGGAGAATGACTTGAACCCTGGAGGCGGAGGTTGCGGTGAGCTGAGATGGCGCCACTGCACTCCAGCCTGGGGAACAAGAGCAAACCTCCATCTCAAAAAAAAAAAAAAAAAAAAAAACTGTTACATCAAATATCGATATAACATTGTTTTGGTGAAATTCACATAACATAACCACGTTTAAGTAAACAATTCAGTGGCATTTAGTACCTTCACAGTGTTGTGCAACCATCACCTGTACGGCGTTCCAGAACATTTTCATCACTCCAGAAAGAAACCCTGTACCCATTAGCAGTCACACTCCCTCAGCCCCTGGTAACTGCTCATCTGCTTCTCTCTCTCCTTTTTTTTTTTTTTTTTTGAGACAGAGTTTTGCTCTCATCACCCAGGCTGGAGTACAGTGGCACGATCTCGGCTCACTGCAAACTCCGCCTCCCAGATTCAGGCAATTCTCCTGCCTCAGCCTCCCATGTAGCTGGGAATTATAGGCACCTGCCACCATGCCTGGATAATTTTTGTATTTTTTGTACAGACAAGGTTTCACCATGTTGGTCAGGCTGGTCTCAAACTCCTGACCTCAGGTGATCCACACGCCTCAGCTTCCCAAAGTGCTGGGATTACAGGCGTGAGCCACCTTGCCTGGTCTCTGATCTGCTTCTCTCGCTATAGATTTATAATTGGTTAACTTGGTGCTCTTCTGTTTCTATGTGACCTCTACAACAACTCTGTGGGGTAAGGAGGGCCTGGTAAATTTATTTATCTGTTTTTGTTTTGTTTTGTTTTGTTTTGTTTTTAGAGACAAAGTATCGCTCTGTTTCCCAGGCTGATGTGCAGTGACACGATCATAGCTCACTGCAGCCTCAACCTCTTGGGCTCAAGCAATCCTCCCACCTCAGCGTCCCGATTAGTGGGGACTACAGACATGTGTCACCACAACTGGCTAATTAAAAAAATTTTTTTGGGCCAGGCACAGTGGCTCACACCTGTAATCCCAGCACTTTGGGAGGCCGAGGCGGGCAGATCACAAGGTCAGGTGATGGAGACCATCCTGGCTAACACGGTGAAACCCCGTCTCTACTAAAAATAAAAAAATAAGCCGGGGGTGGTGGCGGGCACCTGTAGTCCCAGCAACTCGGGAGGCTGAGGCAGAAGAATGGCGTGAACCCAGGAGGCAGAGCTTGCAGTGAGCCAGGATTGCTCCATTGGACTCCAGCCTGGGCGACAGAGCAAGACTCTATATCAAAAAAAATTTTTTTTTGGAGACAGGGCGTCTCCCTATGTTGCCCAGGCTGGTCTTGAACTCCTGGCCTCAAGTGATCCTCCCATCTAAGCCTCCCAAAGCATTGGGATCACAGGCATGAGCCACTGTGCCCAGCAACCTTGATAGTTTTGAGGAGTATTGGTCAGGATGACCCTTTCTTGGAATTTGTGTGTGTGTGTGTGTGTGTGTTTGTTGGAGTCTCACTCTGTTGCCCAGGCTGGAGTGCAGTGGCACAGTCTCGGCTCACTGCAACTTCTTTCTCCCAGGTTCAAGTGATTTTTGTGCCTCAGCCTCTGAGTAGCTGGGATTACAGGCACATGCCACTGCACCCAGCTGATTTTTATTTATTTATTTTTATTTATTTTTGAGACAGAGTCTCACTCTGTCACCAGGCTGGAGTGCGGTGGTGTGATCTCGGCTCACTGCAACCTCTGCCTCCTGGGTTGAAGTGATTCTCCCGCCTCAGCCTCCTGAGTAGCTGGGACTACAGGCGTGCACCACCACGTCCCCCTAATTTTTGTATTTTTAGTAGAGATGAGGTTTCACCATGTTGGCCAGGAAGGTCTTGATTTCTTGACCTCGTGATCTGCCTGCATCGGCCTCCGAAAGTGCTGGGATTACAGGCGTGAGCCACTGTGCCCAGCTCTCTATTGGAATTTGTCCTATGTTTTTCTCATAATTAGATTAGAGTTATGGGTTTAGGGGAGGAAGACCACAGAGGCAAAATGCTGTTTCATCACATGGCTGCTTTATGTTTAATCATCTCTTTTCTGGGCCGGGCGCAGTGGCTCACGCCTGCAATCCCAGCGCTTTGGGAGGCCGAGGCGGGTGGATCACCTGAGGTCAGGAGTTCAAGACCAGCCTGACCAACGTGGTGAAACCCCATCTCTACTAAAAATACAAAATTAGCCGGGTGTGGTGGTGCGCACCTGTAATCCCAGCTACTTGGGAGGCTGAGGCAGGAGAATCACTTGAACTCGGGAAGCATAGGTTGCAGTGAGCCAAGATTGTGCCACTGCGCTCTAGCCTGGGCAACAGAGCAAGACCCTGTCTCAAAAAATAAATAAAAATAAAAATGAAATACCATTAAAAATTCAGTTTCTTGGTCACAATAGCTACATTTTGAGGCTCATAGACACACGTGGTGGGTGGCTGCCAGATTGGCAGCCACAGAATGTTTCCATGATCCCAGAAGTTTCTGTTGGCTAGGGCTGCTGTGGATTGTCACAGAGCCTGTCTCAAGGCTGCCCCATGGGAGGTGGGGGCTATGAGAACTAATGAAGGGGGCCTTGGGTAGGTCAGAATCCCGCATCAGCTTGACTGAATGTCCCTGCCTCTGCAGCCCCAGAATGAGTGGAGTCTGCCCAAGCACAGCGAAGCCTTGCCCAGCAAAATCTTCAGTCCCTCTTATGTGGGTTCCTTGGGGTCATAACAAGACAGAGGACCAGGCACTGCTCCTAGATTTAGGCCTGAAGGACACTAAGTGGGTGACTGGGGTGTCTCAAAGAAGGAGAAGCAGCTGTGGTTGCAAGTAAAGTTATTAATTCACCTTTTATCCAGGCTGGAGTGCAGTGGCACAATCTTGGCTCACTGCAACCTCCACCTCACAGGTTTATGTGATTCTCTTGCCCCAGCCTCCTGTGTAGCTGGGACTATAGGCATGTGCCACCACGCCTGGCTAATTTTTGTATTTTTATTAGAGATGGTGTTTTGCCATGTTGGCCAGGCTGTTCTCAAACTCCTGGCCTCAAGTGATCCACCCGCCTCGGTCTCCCAAAGTGCTGGGAATACAGGCGTGAGGCACTGCACCCGGCTATGAATTACTATTAACCGAGTGCTAACTCCATCCCAGGTCCCATATGCTAAGAACCTGGCACAAAGGTCGAGGTAGGTCCAAGTACAAACTTCATTTTATAGAGAAGACAGCTGAGGCTGAGAGAGGTTAAGTGACTGCCCCAGAGTCACACACCAGGACCAAGGTAAGAGTTGGATTTGGTTCTCATGCTACCATCTCAGGCCAGGGAGTACTGAAAGTCCCTTGAGGAAGGAAGAGATTCAGTTCAACCTACGACTTCCCTCCTTCCCCAGCCCATGAACGCCTTCCTAAGGACAATCTGGACAAACTCCACATGCTGGAGTTTACACAAAGCACCTGGTGGGGAGGGGGTCAGGTTGCTGCCACAACCCTCTCCCCCTGGAAAGAGACATGCTAACTCTGACAGCCCAGACCTCTGCGGCCCCGGCCACAGAGGTGACAGTATAAGGGACCTGGAAGGGCACTGGGTAGCTCCCCAAGGCCCTGTGCTCTTTGTACCTTGACCTTCCACCACCCCAGATCCCTGCACAGGTGTGCAAAGCATAGCCTCTCCCAGCCTGGGAAAAACACACTCTTCAGTGGAAAGTACAGCTAAGCATAGCTTCTTGACTCCTTCAGGTGATGGCATACCCACACTTTAGCAAGGTCACGTCTTCTTGGCTTCTAAAGGGTAAGGCTCCTGTTTCTAGGAAGTGCTTGACAGCAGCTGCCAGCTACCATTTGCTGAGTGTTTCTCTACGCTTGGCATTGTGCAAGCACTGTGCTTTACATATGTTGTCTTTCAGCCTAACAACATTCTTCTGATATAGTTATTATTGCTGTGATGGTTGTCATCTTCTTCCCCATCTTATAGATGATGAAGCAGGTTCAGAGAGTTTAAGTAACTTTCTCAAA